AAATAACGTTACGGTTTGTTTATCGTACTATCAAACGATACACCGAAGAGTCAAGCTTCGAAGATCGTAAGAGAAGCGGCCGACCTCGCACAGTTCGGACACATAAGGTCATCAAAGCAGTGAAGGCGCGAATCGAACGAAATCCCGTACGTAAACAAAAAATCCTAGCTCTGCAGATGGGGCTAAGCAGAACCACTGTTAAAAGAGTACTAAATGAAGACCTGGGACTACGAGCTTATCGTAAAAAGACAGGACATTTTTTGAACGAGCGTTTAAAAAAAATTAGGCTAGACAGATCCCGCGCTTTGCTACGACGGTACGCGGGAAAAAAATACCGCGAAATTCTTTTTTCGGATGAAAAAATTTTTACTATTGAAGAAAGTTTTAACAAACAAAATGATAAGGTGTATGCCCACAGCAGTGAAGAAGCAAGCGCGCGTATTGCGAGGGTCCAGCGTGGGCATTACCCTTCCTCATTCATGGTTTGGCTTGGAGTCTCATATTCAGGCGTAACTGAGGTGTTTTTCTGTGAAAAAGGTGTGAGAACTAGTGCCGAAGTTTATCAAAATACTGTCCTAACAAACATAGTGGAACCTCTTTCTCAGACAATGTTCAGGAACAGGCATTGGATATTCCAACAGGACTCTGCACCGGCTCAAAAGGCACGAAGTACGCAAGACTGGTTGATCGCTCGTGGAATTGACTTCATCCGGCATGAAGACTGGCCCTCTTCTAGTCCAGATTTAAACCCACTGGACTACAAGATATGGCAATATTTGGAGGAAAAAGTCTGTGCTAAACCTCACCCGAATTTGGAGTCTCTCCGAGCATCTCTGGTTAAAGCAGCGGCAGACATAGATATGAATGTGGTGCGTGCAGCGATCGATGACTGGCCGCGTAGATTAAGGGCATGTGTTCAAAATGGGGGAGGGCATTTCGAATAATGTAAATAAAATTATATTGTACATTTAATGACCTTTCATTTCATATATAATTTTTAAATAATTGTCAAAAGGCGTATAAGTTATTACATCAAAAGTTTGTGACAGAACTTATGACCCGACTAAGTATAAGTAATCTACACTTAATAAACAACTTTAATGAAATTTGGTTTTAAAGTTAAGCATTTTACTTTAACATTTTTGTAAAAATCGCTATTTGTAAACGATAATTTAGGTACACGAGGAATTCCCCAAGAATACAAGATTACCATATGTAGCATTAATGTTTAAACTACGTAATCGCCCAATGGTAGTAATACTCAGAAGCGTGTGGCGTAAGACCATGCTGTTTTAGACATGCTTATACTAGAGACATCTTAGTTGTGATTAATTTGTTTGTTTAATAGGGAACTCCACCAACCTATATCAAATAGATAATAACAGAACTATGATAATGAAGCAGTAACTATTCTAGAGACATAAATAGATTTTCTTCATATAGACGCAGACACCAGAACTAGACCCAAGCGTAGTAATGCCAAGATGGGGCCCAACAGGATCAATGTTCAGCCGGGTTGGCGAGGCAAGCGCGCCAAGGTACCGCGGCCTTAGCCTGCAGCAGGAAAAGGGATGGGTTTTAGTCAGTAAGAGTCTGATATTCCCTCTCGTCTAACCCTGGGCGAGAGAAGTTATTTGATGATTTTACCCCTTCAAAAACTAATTTACAAGTATATATGTATATGATAATTTACAAGGTATGTGTGACGTAATGTTATACATATTATCCTGGATCTTCTAATGAAATGACGAGTCATCAGAGAATACTGGAAGGTAAGTAAGAAATGATAACCGTAACCAACAAAAAATAAAGTTCAAAATCTACTGCTCAGGTTTTTTTTTCTTTTAAATTATCATCTTGTCTTGAAAATTTTTTCACAAATTATTTGGGTCATTGCAAACTTTTATTTAGCTTTGCTTGTTAGTAGGTTAAGGTTGGCTCGTCCAATCTAATTTTGCAAAACTTTATCTCGATCAGGCTAATTTGAAGTTTGTCGATGATGTGGCTCGCTCTCTGATTTTATCTGCTTCATTCTTTAAGTGGGTACCTGTCTGTAGAGATGACAAGATAATGTCATCGATCTCAGTAGAACAGTATCTTCACAAGTTCCAAATTAGTTATGTAAAAATGTAGAATGTAGGATCATTATAAAAATTTTGATTATGAAACCTAAGATGGTGTATAACAAGGGCGCGGACAAGATGATTTTTTTTATATAAAAGTTAAGAAATCCGATGTTGACAAGTGATGTTTTAATTTATAAATTGGGGAGAACAGATGGAACATTTAAATTTTCGACATTAAGACTTCGTTGTCTTTTTACATTGTCCCTGGAGAGGTTAGCAAATATTAAAAAAAAAGTACAATTTTAGACTACAGGCTACGCCAAAACTTTTAGCACGAATGTTAAGAAATACCTAGCTCGGAATCAAAACCAAAGTCCTTTGCTTGAAAGTCGATTTATTGATGTCTGACTCCAAAATAAATTAATGAGACAAAATATTAATAAGTTACATTCTTAAATTAGTAGGTATGAACATTCTATCAAAAGCTAAAATCCCAAAAATTTGGGATAAAACTGGCTATTAATTTCGGGTACAAATTTAATTCGAAAAAAGTGATGTCAATGTCAGTACCTTAAAACAAATCTGTGTAACAAATCTGATTTTGGACAGCGTAACAAATAGATTTATAAGAAAACGTTGTCCAAATATAATGCGGGTCTTCATTAAGTAAACAAAATCAGGAAGGTCCAATTTTCAAGCTCGTTTTATCACAGAACTCGAGAGGAATGGAAATCATTTGGACGATTTGTTGAGGAAAACGAATTTCGTTGAAAGGTTCACGCGATCCATCTTTGTATTTTCATAAGTGTTAGGTTGAGAATCCGATCACACGCACTTCAACTCGCCTTTTAAGACGATTGAGTGGACTTGTATTTGTTCTTAAATTTAATTCAAAAAGGACTTAAGATCTAGATTTAGAATACTTACTTACATACTACTACTTACTTACATACATGTGTGTGATGTGTTTTCCAAAAATAATTTAAGCATTAAAAAAATTGCGAGTCTTATTATTAAAATTTTTAGATATTGTTAAACAGACCCTTTGTATTTCGTGTCGTCTTTAGTTGTTTTGGTCAGAATATTAGATTTTTGTCAAAAAACAAAAATCTTTACTAATATTATAAAGCTGAAGAGTTTTTTTGTTTGTTTTTTGTGCAAACGCGTTAATCTCCGGTTTGAACTATTGGTTCGGATTGAAAAATTTTTTTGTGTTTTTGAGTACATTTATCGATGAAGACTTTTAGGTTATAAAACATTCAGCTACGATTTTTAAGAGCCGAGCAGCGAGACAGACAACACAACCGCGTGACAGAAGCTAGTAACTACATAAATGTAAAAAATAGCTTTAGGCAGGTACTAAATATTTAAAACAGGGATACCGTAATCTTTGAAACGCGTTTCTTCTGTGTACGTGTACGAGAATTTCCAGGTATTAGGAACTGAAGGAGATTTTATAAAATATGTATTTTAACCTACATCAGTATGTTTCAAAATTCACAAACAATATTTAGTTTCGTACGACTTTATGCCCGCTTAAATAAACTAATAATAAAAGAAATAAACAAAAAAATCTGAATGCACTGAACTGAAAACTACAAAATTGTGCATAAATTGAAATGGAAGACAAGCTCGGTTCAGAAGTATGGAAAGTAATTCAAATAAAACAACTATAAAATAATAACTAGTCACAATTCATTGATATTCTCGACATAAGTGTTTTCATTTTACCCGTGGGTAACCCATATTCAGACCGGGTAAATATATACCGGGTCGTCTCGTCTATTACAAAGTAGTGCAATTTAAAATTTATTTTTTTCTAAATTCTGAAAATGTTTCAGTTAGGTATCTATACCTACTTCTAATGAGTAAATTATGTAAAGGTGTACAAGTAGGAAATGCGTAAAAATGCAATTAAGTTCGAAGGTACGTACGTATGTATAACGTGCACGAACATACAAATACAATATTTACATAATATAATAATGTATACAAATGTGTTTTTATTTGTAATATAAATCGTGAATCAAACTCACACATATCCAATTTCGGCAACTTCATCTTACTGGAAGTGGTTCGGGATTGAAGTCTCGATAGCGAGTGGCAGCGAATCAAAATACAACACTAATAAAAACGTTTGCAAGGAGTTCGCATTACGTTGTTTTTGAACGATGAAGAATGAGTACGATTCGTTGGTATATCGCGATGTTTTTAAAAGGAAAACAGTGCATTGATATGTGCGGCTGTGCGCATGTACGGGTTGGCACTGCGGAGCCGAGCGGTAAGTAGCGGAGCGCGGCCGGGAGTCACGGCGTCAATATTAGTAATAACACCGTCCTCACACGATCTACATTAGAATTAATTCGTCCGATAAGTGTGTGTCCCTCGCCGCTCCTTCTGGACCATCGACAATCACGCCGGATCAATGCCACTACACGTCTCACCACTATCGACGTGACGATTAATGGTCCACACGGCACTTAATTCGAACAAATGGGTTCCTAATTTAAGACAATTGGCCAGCCCGCGAAACTATTCGTTGACCTATAATGATGAAATTTTTAATTTATTTTTACCTACGACAATAATACGCAGTTGATATAAAAATTATAAGAAATACTTATATACAACTTACCTCTAAGTAATCGATGCACTTGAAAACGATAGGAAACTTTCGCAAATAAATTCGTAATTAGCGGCATCTTCGAAAAATATAATATTATGGAAACATGCGCGATTCGTAAAGGAATTTAAAAAGTGATTAAAATTTCTGATGTGTTTGAATAAAGCAATAACATACCACAACTACTCAATAACTAATCACATAAAACATTTGAATCGCACATATTTTTACACGAGAAACAAATAGTATAATTATGTGATAAAACGACATGCAATTACCTAGTAGATTTATAAAAGTTTTATCAAACTTACCTGAGTCCACACTCTTCTTCAAAGGCATTATAGCAACATTTTTACACATTTTTATAGCTAATAATATTATGCACTTCAATAAATTAATGTTTAATAAATTAAAATTATATTTTTGTTATAAACTTTGGGTTGGTTATCGTAATTTTGTTAGAGGAGTGTTTTGTTATTTTGTGTGGTGTTTATGCTTAGGTGCGTGTGGTCTGCGGCGCGCGTAGCCGCGACTGCAGCGTGCATGTGGTCGGCCGTGGCGGGCCCGAGCATGCGCTGTCGGGGCCCAGAGTCGCGCCACGCTCGCACCACCGGCCGGCTCACACACCGTCACACCGGCCTCCGATACATAAACATTTTCGGTATGTAAATACCGGAAAAAATATGTAAGTAAGACATTTCGAAATAGTTACTCAAATATTTAAATGTCAAATTCGCGAACAGTTTGGTAACATACGAATAATTAGCCTTGAGATAAATCTCAGTAATAAATTGTTTCGAGAAAGGTGGGGATCGAAGTTAAACTTGAATGTCCGTCAATGTCGAGTTCGTAAGAAGCCGGTGCACGGTGAATCACTTGGTTGTGGGGGACCACGTGGCTTTACCTGTGCAGGGTACAATGCGAGCACGGGCCCCTTTGCAACTGTATTTTGTATAATAATTCATTGACCGTTACAAATTCGACGAGCCGACGACAGCCATCTGCGTATCGACGTTCATTCAATTCCTCAACGGAACCTTATCTCGGAAAAGAATGACGTTAGTTTTACAAGCGATTAAAACGCAGATATTGAGGTTTTATGTAAATCTTAACATTCGCGTGCGTAACTTTTTTTCCACATTAAGTGAAATCTAACAATTGAATTAACAATTATTTAGGGGTTAATCTTTATTTATAACTTTTTTTATTAAAAAGTTACAAGTGGTGAACTGCTAGCTGATATTGTTAGTTTTTAGGGTTTCGTAGCCAAATGGCAAAAAAGGGAACCCATACAAATTCGTTATGTCTGTCTGTCCGTGTGTGCCACAGTCAATTAACAAAACATTTTGTAAATGATAAGAACTATCTTAACTACGGTTGTCTACGGATTTTTTTTAGACAATCTCTCTCAAGGCTCAAGTTGCTAAATCTATTCAGGTTTCCCTAGGCCTATAGGGGTATTTGCTCAGCAGTGGGCACTTGTAGACTGATGATGTGATTTTCCCTTAGGCTTCATTTGACCATGACTATGTACACTGTTGTTCTTTGTTTAGTTGTGAGGTATTTCCTATTGTTTTTTTTTGTCAGAGGAACATCGTCAAATGTCTTCTCCCGCCCAGGTTAAGGCGAGCGAGAGTGAGTGTCAGACTATTACTGACTAAAAACCATGACCTCCATAGTTTTTCACGCTTGCCGCAAACGCATGGCAGATCTGATTCCCGAACAAAATAAGTCTTTGTGCGTAATAGTACAAACTGATGTTCCTGGCCCAGGTGTCATGTGGAATTGTATGTTTGTGAACACAACAACGATAGATACTGAAGAAAAACTTGGTGTGTACGTTTGTTTTTTAAGAAAAAGTAACTTTTAGTATAATTGGAAATAAAAAAGTTTTTATTTATTAAGTCAGATTTTAAACGTAGTTTTTTTTTGGGTTAGGGGGCGGCGAACGACCTTACGTATGGACAACCGTACGCAAAAGTTACAAGTGCGTTGACGGCCTTTCAGGGTCTAGGGTTTCGGATATTATACGAAGGTTTTCGAGAGACCGTGGTATCACTCCTGTCGAGCCGACCCATTCATGTCGAAGCTTGGCTCTCCCAAATTAATTGTTAGTTATGTTAAAAGTTATAATATATATGTATATAAGAACGTATTTGTTGGTATAGTTTACCTTTAATGGTATATGTAGTTTAAACTGTGTTTTAGTTGTTATTAGGATTTTTTATGGGAATAGCCTTTGGGTGCCATGGGTCTGAGTTATGAAAACATAATCTATGGATATTGCTACAGATTTGAATAAATATCAATATACAAATTGCTTCTACATCTTTTAATCCTGCAAGTATCGTGTGGTATGTTTTAAGGACTACACATTAAACAGAAGTTGAAGGCGTGTTCGGACTCATTTAATGACTAAATGAACTAACTATTTTTAGCAGCCATTTTGTCCTGAAAACATTTGTAAAACTTGGATAAAATAATTATTAAATTATGATTTTTGAGAGGGGAAAACGATTGTGATGTAAGAAACTAAGCAGCAGCGCTCGATTGATGATAAACTTTTTAAGCTGCGATCTTCAACCCAATAGTCCTGTGTATGGAGATTATAGTTAGTGGTAAACGATATTTGGTAGTGTATTGAAGCTATTAATGTGATGTGAAATATCGAAACAAGGGAAAATAGATAGATTAATAATTTATTTGGTGTAACAAAATATCAATATACAAGCAAGATGGTAATAAAGTTTTATAATAAAAGCAAATTTAAAAATAATATATTATTAAAAATAAGTATAATATTTAACGGCAAAAATGCTATTAAAAATATAAGTAAGGTCATCTAAAATACGCCAAATGGGTGTTCAGTTCAGCATGTGTCAGGTTGTAATACAGGATGCTGATCTTCTGCTGGATCTCTGGATTAAACGGATGTCTAGTGGACAAACGAAGGAAGGACGCTTCTAAAACGAATCTCTAATCTAATATTCATAACATCAATACTTTAGTATCTACCAGCAATAAGGCTATCAATATTCTCTTTGATTGTGCCGCTAAAGCAATATTGCTATTCCAAATCGTATTTGCGAATTATCGAAAATTGAACAATAACGTTTTGGCAGATCTGAGACAGACTTTGCTTAACATCAAGAAGAGGGATTATTTAAGGGATTTATATAAATATACTAGCATCCGCCCGCGGCTTAGCACGCGTATAAACAATTGATAGCTTTATAGCACTCAGGAACATTGTAGCTTTGGAATTTTAAATATTGAATTCGATTCATAATTTATCAACAGCGTTTGGTTTCGCGCTGTGAGTGAGGTTACTGGAGACCCAATCCATCCAGCCTGCCCCATCCTTTTCAAATCCTGAAATATCCAAAACCCTTATCCCTAAAAGGCCGGAAACGCACTCGTAACTCCTTTGGTGTTGCGGGTGTCCATGGGCGGCGCTGATTGCTTACCATCAGGTAATCCGCATACTTGTGTGCCGACCATATCATAAAAAAAACATTCGACCAACGCTTCCAAAGATTACAATCTACATACAAACTCACAAATTTTACCTCTTTATAATATTAGTATAGATAGTTAAAGCTAGCAATATCAAAGGCTTCAGGCTTTTTACTTTGTTATAGAGGAAAATTTCAGGAAAAATGTAAAGGTACCCTATTCATCCAATCTTCAAAGGAATTTTCATAGCAACGAATATAAAAGAAGAGTGCGAATCTAATAAAGTCCTTGGCGAAGGGCTGTTCTGGCTATTTTCCAAGGATCCTTCGTTATTTATGCGACGAATTTGGCTATGGAGTCGACGTATGACGAGAGAGAGGTATGACGTCATGATATCTGATTGTAATATCGAGTTTCAATGCTGTATGTAATAGAGAATAGGGATAGAAATCCGCGCAGGGATCTTTTTGTTAATAGATTTTAAGCTTTATTACCAAAGTGTAAAATTGAAATTCTTCTACCACTACCACTAGTAGACTTAGTTTGTAGTTTCAAATTATTAAAGTATTACTATGAAGAATTGTTTTATTTTCCGGATATTATCAAAATCAACAACCACTAAATGACCGCTGATGGACAATGAGTCTCTTATATTTAAGAGAATTTGCTTTGAATCACCGTTAAGGAGGTGGGGAAGGAGGTCGCGGCTCAAAGAGTTTAGTTATATTTAAAATTATCATCGGTTTTCGAGACAATATGACAGTATTAAAAATTGAAAAATATAATACCAAAACAATCCGAAATAAACCTTTGTTGTACATACTTAAGATTGAAAATAAGGAACAGGACATACTTGTAATCGATGAGCACACCTCGGGGGCTAACCAACGAAAATCAAAAGCCTGATCCTCTACAAAGCATCCCCCACGGTATTAAATTACCAGCTTTTCATACCTTACTGAGAGCACTTCAGTTGAAGAGTGCCGCTAAAAGTATACCTTAAGCACTTGTTATAGGTAAATATAAAAGACAGGCTTATGTTTTCAATTTTTTCTCGTAGCATATTTATTAGGGCATTTTTTTCTGTACTTATGTTTTTTTATGTACCTATACCACACTAATATGAACACATGGATTCATAGCTACGAAAAATGTTTTCGTAATAGGGTAGTGTCCTTAGGTCTGATTTTTCAATGGCTAGATAAAAGTTGCCTGGGGATTAATTATGATGCTGTCGCGTCAAAACGTTTGTATAAGACAGTGACAGCAACAATTTTATTCCTCAGATAACATTTATCTGACTATTGAAAAATCAGCCCTTAGTCAAAAGGTTGATAGAAACATAGCGCTTCGGTTGCTTCACTACAATTTTCTGTGAGTCCATATGACTATGGTCGAGGCGATCCATTCGTGCCAAAACACGGCTCTTTGGAAGAATATTCGCCAATTATTTTACTTTAATTTATTATAATACATATGAAATATTTGCTAAATTGCTATATTGGCCTCTTGTCTGGTGGTATCTGAGACACAATAGAAAACTCATTGAGTCTCGCGTGTATCCCCGCTCCGACATGTCACGGCTTAATAAATAATACTCCTAATACACAAGAGAAACTAACAGTTCAATAGTTTTGCAAGATTTGGGTCGATAACCTTGCCAGTGTAATTAAATATAAGTAAACTGCAATATTTGTGTATTCTCAAATATCCATCAGCTATGGCAACACTCATTGCGTTTTATTACCTGTTTACTTTAGATGTTATGTTGTTAAGTTAAATTACTTTATTTTCTTTTCTAAAAAGACATGCAGCTTTATCTTTATTTTAAGTGTGGGAGAGCCATGCTTCTCCACGAATGGATCGGCTCGACCGGAGTGATACCACGGCCTCACAGAAAACCGGTGTGAAACAACCACAGCGTTGTGTTTATCCATGTCAGTGAGGTTGCCGGAGGCCCAAATCTTCCCCTCCCCCGATTCCTAAATCTCCAAATCTCTAATCTCTAAAAGGTCGGCAACGCACTCGTGACTCCTGTTTCGCGTGTTCATGGGCGGCGCTGATTGCTTACCA